ATATATTTGCCGGATGTTTTCTATCAGACAACCGAGATTTGAATTATGTTTATTTGCTTTAGTAATTTACTTTATTTCATGTTTATTTTCATTCAAAATTAGCCTTTATGAGCATTTTTTTCGTGGAGCAGGATTATGTTTGAATGGTGAATTGTTTACTTATTTTGTTTTCTGTTGTATTTTATTAAATTATTCGTTTATTTTTGGTACACTGGGACAATGTAAAATAAACTAAAAACTAGTTTTACAGACGGAAAGCTCCCTTAACGTACAAGAATCTTTGATCCTAACATGAACGTAGAGGTTAATGCATCTATTGCACTCGTAAGTAAATGCTTTTACGAAAATAAGATCCTTTCTAAGATCAAAATATTTCATATTACCCGCAACTGATAAGCTTAGTTATTACTGATGAATTTCATTAAGGATAATTTGTTTGTTTTAGGAGAGGGAGTGATAATTAATATTCTAATTTTATGGCAATATCCATCAACAGACTTCTTCAAAATAATCTGTCATGGTTCAAATTTTCAGTAAGTACCGTCACCCCGGAGAAATATTTACAATCCTTTCTTTTAAATCGTTGTCGGTGTCCCTGGATGCAGTGCTTGAGAGCTCTAGTTAAAAGTCTTTTTTCTATTTTTTTATCAGCTAGTTATCTCATGCCGCTGCGAGCAGTCACACAGTACGGATCTCCGCGCACAGCACTGCACCTCGCCTCGTACCTGTGTTCCGTGTTCCAGTGAAAGTTAAAGTGGTACAGGAATATTTAAAAAACACTTACTGATTGTGTTGGGCTAATATTCTAAAAAAAAATAGTGCAACATTTTCAGCAGATAATGCCGGCAAACGCCAGTGTATTGTAGATGCCCTCGCTCAAGTCTACCCGCCCGAGGGCAACATTGAGGTCGCTTACCAAGAAGGCGACGCCCGTGAAACATAATTCCAACATATTCCAGCATCTACTAGAACAACATCAATTAGATCAGCGGTTACCTCAACCTTCATCGCCTCAGCCTCACGTGTTAAGTGCAACAATGTCGCATGACAAAGTCAATTATCAACTAAAGAAGGTCAGTACCAATTTGCCGGATGACGGCACTGCGAGTACTTCAAAGTGCAACGGTAATATCGGTGCAAGTGCAGAACCAATTTCCCAAGAGCCCAGTGGTAAGCAAGGACATAGTGACGCAAATCTAAACGCGCAACAAAATAAAATAATCGTGTTTAGCCATTCTGAAGAACATGGCTTACCCATTAAAACATATTTGACCCTCTAAGGGGCCTGCAAGAAAGTGAATCTAGTTTCATATCCCGAAACACCACCGTTCCTGAAAACTCGAAAAATATTAGAATTCCTCCCATCCATATTAACAACATTGAAAAAATTTTAGACCTAAAAAATTAAAATAAAACCAAAATCGCTAACCAGTTTACCTCAACCTACAACAATAGCAAAGCAAAATTAACTTTAACCTATAGAAGATTTCAAAAAAGCAACTAAAATTTTTATAAGCACTAATAAACAGTTCCCCACCTACACGGACCCAATTAACAAAAAACTTCGCTGACGTCTACAAACACATTCATCCTCCTATTTTTCAAGAGGAAATATATTAAAATCTAACAACTAAACATTCTTCCCTCATTAGTGTCGTCAAATAACACAGGAAAATTCACCAATTCAAGTGGTATCCGCTGAATATTCAAGAGGGCAGAATATTGAAATCATTCTTAAATCAAATGAAATATGTAATCTAAAAGTAAAAACTGAAAGAAGGTGAAAACAGAAACGACTAATACAATGTCACCGATGTTCCGAATTCAAGCAATCGAAAAACAACTAACCATGTAATTCCTTCTATTTATTGTTCAGAGAATCATTATTCGGCCTCTCGAAAGGACCATCCAAAATCTAAAAAAGGCGATAGAACGCACACAGCTGATATCTGAACATCAGAATTCTAATTTTTAATAGAAAATAAACCAAAAAATTCAAACCAAACATCACCAAGATTGAGAATTAACCATCAATCTAATACCCTAACACCACCCGCACCCATTTCCCAACTTACATAACACGACCCGAATACGAAACTTCACCCATGTGTCAACCAGCACACAAACAACGTCCCCCGAAATCAATCAGCTAACAACTCTCGAAAGAGTCTCCCCGAAAATAACTGACCCCAAAAAGTTTCTTAAAATCTCCATTCGTACACAATATCATTAATTCCATACACACACATAATTAATATCATTAACTCTATTATATCAATCCCTATTCAAAATATCCAACATGCAATAGCCTCCTATATTAGCACCGCCCATGGCGCATCCTGGATTTATTCATTCATTAAATCTAATGAATTGGAGTGCGTGTATCACCAGCAATGATAAAACAGAATTTCAATATGTTTTACAAGCCAACAATATTTACATTGTTTGCATCTCTGAGTCGCACTTAAAACCTTCTTCTTCGTTTTATGTTTCAGTTTGTAATGTAGTTAGGCAAGATAGAATACACTCACCAGGCGATGGCGTTCATATATTAATCAAAATTACTATCTCATATCACGAAATAAACCCAATGCCCATCACTGGACTTGAACTAGCAGCAATTACTCTCCCCTGCATAAATATAACTGTAATTGTATCTTATAAACCACCCAATCTAAAATCTAATTTCGCCACATTTTAGTCAACCATTGTATTCTCAGGTGAGCTCAATGCTAAACCGTTTCCTGGGGGTGCAGAGTCAGCGATGCCGCTGGGTCTCAACTACACAATTACATTCGTACTATCAGATTAAAATTAATAACTCCCCTGAACCTACATACCATCCTCGAGACCGAAAGAAGTTGCCCGATATTCTAGATGTAGGAATAACCAACATAAAAGCCCAGCTTTACTTTACTCCTCACATCGAGCTCGACTCAGGCCACATTCCGGTCATTATCTCCACAGATCAGACCCTCCACCACCTTCGCCCAAACTGGTTATTAATACGTATAACTTAAATTGGTTCAAATTTAAATAATACAATCCCAAAGACCTCAATTTAAAATCCTAAACACTTCGACTAAAATAGATCAGACAATAATAAACTTAACTAATCTAATAACAAAAATTGTAAACACACTAAAACCCGGAACCCCACCACACTATGTAAAAAACCACCCGTTAAACTTCCCAAAAGCTTAATTAAAATAATTCAAATCAAAAATAAAACGAGAAGACTCTGCCTAACTCTTAGAGCCCTCAGTCTAAAATGAGAACTAAATGTTTTAACAAATATCTCCAGAAAATCCGTAGCAAATTTTAAACAGACCAAATATAAAAACTTAATACAATTTTTAACATTCCCTTTCGAATTTTATTAAAAATATACTAAGGACAAAAACATTCCCCATTAATTACTGCCAACGGTAAAAAATATACAAGTGAAAAAACTGAAGTTTTAGCCGATCATTTTGCTGAGACATTTACACTCAACATATCCTCTCCCCACCCACATCATTCCTAAAGTGAAAACTATGCCAACTTCCCTAATAGCAATATACGCACTAACAAAATAAATACATATCTCCTCCTCTAATTACAAACATCATTAGAAATCTCCCAAATAAAAAAATATCCGGTCATGACAATATTAATATTTTTAAAAACTTACCCAAAACCAATATCACTTATATCACCAATATACATTCTAACCCAAGCCAGTAAATTCAAGAAATGTGTGAATTCCATCGTTTTCAGATTATATTAATTGATTGACCAATAGATCCATTTCATTGTGGAATATGAACACAATGTTTTTTCTCTCACTATCTGAATTGTTATTAAAGATTTAGTTGGTTGTACTGCAAGAAAGAACAGAAGCGAAACCAACTTTAACGTACGCGGTACCGAGTCGCCAGCGAGGGACATTCTCTTTTCGCATTCCGAAAACCGTTGAAGAAAGGCTTGTGTCGTCCAAGAAAAAATGGGTCTTCTGGGGAAATGTAGAACATATTTTTTTTACAAGTTATTTCCAAATATTAATAATACTTATATAATCGTATTCGTATCTTCCAGTGTTGTTGTGTGTCTTGGAAATGAGAAATGTTATAAACGAAAAACGAAATATGTTATTTCCCTCCTCATATACAACTACTTGGTGTAAATCCGCATCCGGCTACCTCGAATCGTTTCGAAGGTTTCGCTGCGACCGTGTCACGTGGTCTACTCTGTCGTAGAAACGACAACTCTGAATTTGTCATCGGCTTCTGGCAAACTAAAGCCATGAGTTCTACCATTGGAACGTGACTGTCCACAATTAATACAGATAAACAACAATCAACAGTCTTGATGGTAGTATCGAGTAAATTCTGAACTGTAAGTTAATTCTTTAATAATGGTTTACAGTTCAAGCGGATATCGAATATATTTAAATCAGTAGCATGAAATAGACCCGGGCATCAAACAAGTTTAAAAAGTTATTAAATTCAGGAACTGAAAGACAATCGGTATGGTCAGATACCAGACATCAGTATAAGAAGACCATCGCTTCTGTTGCAATAGCAACCTAAACCGCAAGGATCCTACTACTTTCAAAGTAAATTAATACCAAGACGAATTAAAATAAGCAATAGGCTTTGGTTATGGCTGCGATAATGATTAGTTCTATGTGAAACGACGTTTCCCACAGGGTTTCCGTAATGGGGTCTCAATAACGCGAATTTCCATCACTGTACGACGTTTTGTTTGTCGGTATTACGAAAAAGAGGAGAGTTGCGAGAATTTTTGCTTCCACTAAGAAATACTATCGAGTGACTGGAGTATAAAATACATCTGCTGATTAGATAATATTCAAATTAACCTCGCACAAGCAAAAAGTGGAGGGTATTTTCTCGCAACCACTCGCTATTGATATCGAAATTGCTGTCGATTGCAGTGAAGCTCCGCAGTATTAAAATTCCCTGATGCGAGGCGCGTTGTGACGCTGTCTTCGAACTCACCAAGTGCAGGGAGGCTGGCGGCTGCTGTGGCTGCTGCGGCAGGGGCCAGGCGACCGCCCCGTTTGCGGAGCTAGGCGGCGCAAAGGTGTGGGGCTGCGGCTCATCCAGCGGCGGCGGCGGCGGCGGCAGCGAAGGTCCCGCTGGCCCCACCAACTGCCGGAGCGTCGCTTCTGACACCTTGTTGTCACGTTGCGGCTTTAAGTTTCAAATTGAATCGATTCCAACAACAGACTAAGGCAGAGCTTTTCAAACTTTCCAGGGTGAACCATACGATCTCGACACTTTATAATATACTTTTTTTTGTTATAATAGAATATCTTGTTTTTTTTTCTTAAAAAGCAAGCTCAATAAATTTGTTTAGGGACAAATTGTCACAGGTAATACCACGAGTGCTTTGGAAATTGTCCAGAAATCCCCGATTCACGATGCGAGATTTTCCAACAGTTCCAAAATGAACCAAATATTGAAAAGTAAATAAAGAATAAGATAATCAGTAATTGGGTTAGTAAATTTATAAATAAAGAAATTATTAGGTAATAAGTAAATAAATACATAAATCAATAAAAAATCATTAAACCATTAAATAAGTAAATGAGCACGTAAGGGGGCAAATGAGAGTGGGAATCGAGGCAAGGGTGGGAACGATCATGTGAGGCGCTATTTCAGTCCAGAAGAATAGGAGGCCAAAGTCTGGAAGGATAATACGTGACGTCCGTGCCAGGAAATAAGTAAATAGTTTATAAAGCACCCATCTTCTGACGGAAGTGTTTTTCCACCTTCAGGGTGTTTTTTTTTCCTAAGCCGTACCATATTGCCGCTTTTCCGCGACTTTGATGCGATGGCGAAACTGGAGTGAATATCATAATTTAAAAGGTTAGAATGCTTTAGGATGAAGGAATTGTAATGGCTTAAATGCCTTGGCTCAGCCACATAATATCAGATTATGAAATCTATGTGTATGTCTTACTGTGTCCTATTAAATTAAAAAAATACATTTTACGGCAGAAAGGCATTCCATTATTATTTTAACAAATATTCCCGTTCTAATTTTATTAAAATACATGTAGTTGAAGACCTTATTCATTTTCCATTAACATACGTTTCACTCTAATATGAAACATTTATTTTCCCTTGACATTACCACAAACAAGCTCTAAGAAGAATCTTTAAATATCAGGAGAGAATAACCCTATCATTAATGATTGCAAATGGTCGGAAAACTGCAGAAATGTCGTATTGTTGAAATGATTACAATACTTTTCCTCGTAATACTATTGTGTAGGGAAGAAAATAAAAAAAAAGCAATGATTCGAATCAATTATAAAACAATTCAATTACGTTTTCAGAAACATGTTTAACTCTGTGTTCGAAATAAATGGTGATTGTATTGTTCCAAAATTTGAAAACGTGTTTCATTTCATCAGTTTTGGAGAGAATATATATTGCACGACATGAAACACATTTTTTGTGAATTTCGATTTTGCATTATAGTGGATATTTTCTACAGCACTTTGTTTTGCGATGTAATTGCATGGTTTCAGCAAGTGATTATTATTTATTGAGTTCACCCTTGCTACTCGAAAGGCCTCACAATTTCTTCATTGGTACCCCCTCCCTTCAGTCAGAATCGAATCTGTGCTGGCGCCGATCGTCCTGTGTGCCAGTCGCTCAGCCTCCAAGCAACGCTCGGTGCGAAGGCGGCTCCACACATTCGGTATTCGTCGAGCAGCATGCAACCAACCGTTCGGCGAATTCCGACGGGTAGCTTGCCATTTGCCGAGCGACGAACATTCGGCGTTCGCCCAACCCATCGGTTGCCGGCGGTTGAGGCAGTAGTGGCTCGCTAGTCTTCGAGTGCCGATTGTGTGGAGCCGCCTCGAGACTCGCCTGCGGGTCGCGCGGCATCGGCCATGCGCTGTCCGCGGGGGAGCGCAGCACGGGGGCCGCAGGCTGCTGCGCGCACAGATGGGCCGCCTGCGCACGGCCAGGCGGCGCCACCGCCGCCACCGCCACCGCCGCCGCCGGCTCGGCCTCCTGGGACTACGGATGCGACATCGCTGGCGATGTTTTAATAAAATCATCCATGTAGTTAACATCGATTGTTTGAAGCCGATGTTTTTTAACATCGATGTTTCGTGTTTGATGTTTACGTGGTTAATATTTTATATTTAGATTAAAAATATGCTGTCATAATAAAAACTAGTAATACTTTTGAGGTACTCATAAATTAGACGTTCATGAGAAGAGTGAAAAGAAAGAAAAGTAGTTTGATTTTGTATTATCCGATCAGATAATAAAACGTTTGTTAATGGTCCTGACCATGTTTTGACTTTATTTTGTCAGTTATATCTCAGTCAAAAATTAATAAACGCGACTACCGCCAAATTAACCATAACCCCCCGCAAATATTAATGGTTACTGATGTAGATTTAAAAATACCGATGTTCAAACACATCGATGGTTAGGGAGGTATTTTATGAACATCGATGTTTCAATTTTGAACATCATTGTTTCTAAACATCGACGTGTTGTTGGCGATATCGCATCCCTACCATGGTGAAAAGGCACGGGCGATCTAGTCCGGCGCACTGATTACTGCTTGTTCCGCGCAGCACCAGGTACGTCACGAATCACAAATCCACAACACGCGCACATTGTATGAAAAGCAAGGACATGATAGAAATTCCACCATGACCAAGTTATTTCTACTGCAAGCGAGGTCATACGCTTGCCGTCATGTTGCATGGCAAGCGAAAAGTGTTCAGAAACCTTTTGAATGTGGCATAAAGTGACAATATTCAACGATGACCAATCCATTATAATACTATGAAAATGTTATTGAAATAAACGATGCAGTATTTAAAAAATGTTTAATATATTCAGTATCGGCGCTAGACAAGGGCAGATCGGGCTCTGCAAGTCAAGGAGCTCGATGATGGGACGGATGGGAAAAATTATTTAAAAATTGAAAAAGAAATTAGAACTCGCGAAAATCGTTATCGTAATTTTATAAATCGCGTTACAGAAGTTTTATATTTAATATAATTTTCAATTAAATTTTACCGTAAATAGTTAATTATAGTCATTACTTATAAGGTAGACTTTCACATTTTTATTTTTTTTTTTCGTGGGGGGGGGGCGACGTTTCAGCATTGCCCCAAAATTGTTTAGCTCCGGCACTGTTTTAATGATCTGTAACAAGGTGAGAATTGTAACCGGTCCGGAGGCCGAGATCGTTCAGGCCGTAGTGCCATATATCGATCTCGGAAGGATCGCGGGTTCCCGCTTCTGGCATGGTTGTATTCGTCCTTTCAGCCCCCCTCCCCCCACCCCATTATCGCCATATCATGTCTTCACAGTTACCATAACGTAAAATGCAATAGTGGTCGCTAATGACGTAAATGTTGATGCGATCTAAATAAACTCCCCCAAAAATAGTTTTGGTACCTGGCTGTTTTTAAAATTCCGCTAATATTGTGGCGCAAACTGGGGTATGAAGCTCATTGTCTGAAGCCGGATGGGCCGCGCACTATCCCTACCTGGGCGATGCACGTGGTCGCCGCTGCCATCGGTGGGGGCGGAGGGGCCAGCGGCGGGGCGAAGGCCGACGCAGGCGCCGACGCCGGCGCCAACAGAGGGGGCCGCGGGAGCTGCAACCCCATTGGCTTAGGTTTTATGCGAGCGCCAAATTGCTTGTGCAAGTATTCGCACTTAACACTACGATCTCACAGAAACGATAGCGAGAAACAACTGTTTATTAGTTTTGGAGAAAGGAAATGAATGCTGAACAAGAAAGTGAACCAAGACAGCTTTTGAAAATACAAGCATATCGGATGTAAAATTCACAGAAACGAAAAGTGATCAAAAATCCTGAAGAAATGTAATTAAGACATAAACCTTTTCATAATAAAATAAATTCATAAAGCTTTTCACCCTAATTTTAAAATCACTTTTAAGATTCTTCCATACATTTCGATTTGACGCTGTTTTCAACAAGAGAACAAGGATTCTTTTAATCTAAATAATTATTTACGTGACGAAGTAATAAGAGTTATACCATCCATTTAATATTTATTTCAATGGTGGTGGTGGTGGTTCCAAGCAAATTTCCAGCTTAAAATTTATTTTGCCACTTGAGCTCAAAAGCGATGCAACAATGGAACGATTGAGAGTGCCGGTGGGCAGGATATTACGAATTCAGTCTCTGGGGGATTCTGGACGTTTGCTTGATATATTTAACATCAGCGAGTGTCGAGTATGTGTCCGTGTCAGGAACGAGATCGTAGGCCATCAGCGGTCGCTAGTTTTCATAGTTTTTTTGAATATTTTTTTCATATTTTCCTGAATTTAATTTCTTGAATTTCCTGAATTAATTTGTTAATAATTTAATACTCCACACACTTTCATTAATTTGGTTTTCAAAGGTCAAAATCAAATTCACTTGGATCGTTGTCCTACCACTAAGCAACACTGTTTTTGAAAATGAAGAGCACATAGCACTTCTATATATTGAAATTTCTGATCCGTGGAATTTAATGCGTTTTCCCCTTTCTGCTAACACGATAAATGTCTCGTTTTGAAATAATTTCTTTAGTTTAAAAGAGGCTTTGTTCTCTGGGTGAAAACAGCATTGGTGGTAGTTCCTATGAGAAAGCCAGCCGCCGCGCACGTGATGCTTGAGCGGCGACGGGGAGGGCCCCGGCGTGGCCGCGGTGAGGTCCTGGCGCAGGTCCAGTTCGGGCAGCGGCACGAGCGGCGGCAGCGGGGGCAGCAGCGACGCCGGGTACACCGCCACCGGCCCCGGCCCCGGCCCCGGCCCCGGCCCGGGCCCGGGCCCTGGCCCCGGCCCCGCTCCGCACCTGCAGGCCAACGGCGCGCACAAGGCTCGCATAAGCGAAATGCCACACAGGTGTAAGGGTTAACACTCTTCCTCCCAATTCCGAGTTTTTAGGGTACAAACCCGACGAAAAACCTTGAGTGTGGCATGTAAAACCACGAGTATTTAGACAAAATGCCTGGCAAAATTGAATGAATCTATCGTGTTTCCG